AGACTTCTGATCAGGGGGCTCACGAGATGGTCAAATGGAATCTCCCATAGGTTCTGGGGTTTTCTTGCTTTGAAGTAGGGGGTGGAAGGCATCAAAGGATTCTTTGCAAGGATAGAGAGGGGGTAAAATAGGGCTGGTCAACGGGTACCGGCTAGGGGGAACCCTTAACAGATGCGAGTGGCGTTGGGTAGTTAGGCTGTCCAATGGGTACCGACTGTTGAGGGCGACCTTTAGTGCGATTGGCGTTGGGCAGTGTTGTTCACTTCCTTGATGACGAAGACTGGAATTCTTGTGGGGGCAAGGAATTTCAGGGTGATGGTGGTGCCTTCCCCCTGTCGAGATAAGCTATTCTCTGGGCTCCTTACGAGGATGGAGTTGGGATTCGAAGGTGAATAAGGTCCTTCCCTTCGATGATGGAGGCAGGATATTTCAGTTTGTCTGTTTCAGGGCTTGCCGGTTTTCTATTTTTATTCTATATTTCGTCGAAGGATTGTCAGAGGTTCATCAAGGTGTCAAAAGTCGTCAGAGGTTTTCTTGTAGCCAAGGCCTGGTAATGGCCCTGGCATCTCATTTTTCTCCTATTCAAAACCTAGCTGGACATCTTGTGGAACTTTTGGGGACCTGCTTTGAAGTAAGGGGCCAGGGGCATCAAATGATTCTTCACAAGGACGGGGAGGGGGAGGAAATAGGGTTGCTTGATGGGTACCGACTAGAGGGGTCTCTTATGAGATGCGATTGGCGTCAGGTAGTTTACGTTGGTTGATAAGTACCGGCTGATGAGAGGGAACTCTGGCGGGATTGACATTGGGTATTGCTACTTCATCACCTTGACGATGGAGACTGGGATTTTTGTGGGGGCAAAGAATGTCAGGGTGATGATGGTGCTCGGCCCGCGTGGAGAAGAGGCTCTCTGAAGTTCTTTACGATAACGGAGTTGGGAAGTACGGAGGTGATCGGGAAGGAGGAAGTTGGTAGCAGATGCGATTGGCGCCGAAATTTCGGCGGGTACCGGCCACTGGCCGCTAACTTCACCCGGATCAGTCTGCGTTTCTATCCTTCAATGATGGAGGCAGGATTGTTCTGTGGGGCTATTTTTCCAAAAAGAGGTTAAGTGGGATGAATAGATGGTTGGATATCAAGCGTCCTACTAGTGAGGGGGTTAGCTTGTAGGATGGAACTAGGGAACAAAAGCAGTGGAGATGGTGGCTCTGCTGCAGTAAGTCTCACCGGAGTAAGGTTAAGTGGATATGATGGGGAGGTCTCTGAGTTGTTCTCTGAATTTTGCCTAATTTGAAGCTTCTGTAGAAAGATAAAAAAGAATTAGGTGAGTGGAAGATGGTGGGTTATCACGCGTCCTACCAGTGAGGGGGCTAGCTCGTAGGAGGGGAGTATGACATAGCAGCAGCAAAGATGGTGGCTCCGCTGCAGTCAGTCTTGCCAGAGTGAGGAAAAGTGGATTGATAAGGGATCTTCTGAGCTGTTTTTGAAGTTGAAAAAAAAAAAAAAAAAAAATCAATGACAGTCGTCAGAGGGTGAGTGTGTTTCAAACATTTTCACGTATTGTATTTTGAAAAAGAAGGGCCGTACGCCTTCATGAATCTGGCTGAAAACCACGACCGAATTCATGAACCGATAAAAACAGGCCAAAGGAGCTGTGTTGTCAGATTAGACAAACTCAATACGTGACGATATCAACAAGCATAAACACGACAAGTCATGATTACAGCCGCAACCATCATAATTGACTGACACACTACCCTGAGGGAGACGAAAAAGAGAGAGAGAGAGAGAGAGAGAGAGAGATAGAGAGAGAGAGAGACAGACAGACAGAGGGGAGGAGAGAGAGAGAGAGTGGCATTAGACGAAGTCCAAGTAATATCCAAAACCCGAACGCGACGTTAAAATAAGGCTTGAAGTACAATACTCGGACACAATGTTCGTTTGGCGCACGACCCGACCGGTTTCGGCTGGTCGCCAAGTCCAGCCTCATCAGGGGTCTGTCTGTCAGTAGGAACTGAACCGTTGACTTCCTATTTATCTCGTGTGGAAATGGTCTATAGTCAATCTCTAAGCAGTTCTAGGACGGTAGTAAAAATCTAACTTATTAACTTCTAGTGGTACTACAGGAAATCACATCGGTTCAATAGGTCGCCGGTTCAATCTTCTCATCGCGCCACTTTCTCTTCACCATATATCAACATCGCGGGTTCAAATCCTAAGTACCGAAAAATACCACAATTACTCCTGCTACTTAAACAATACGTCTACGTCCCAGGTTCGAATCTCACATCTTAGCTTCAAATCTCCAAGTTATCCAACAACATCCCTTACAACGTCACGAGTTGAAATCCCTCTGCATATCTTCTSAGATTGTCACACCACCACAGTTTCACAAATAACTATTACCTCGTCCTATTCTAAACCACTGTAACTCATCCCATCCAGTTAACACTTATAACCATTGTTTCCATAACCCCTCATGTTTCCAAGAAAAAATCCTAAGTGCTAGGTCAAAACAATCATCCGGATACCCGCGTCGCCATAACTATGTTTTCAAGGAAAACAAGAAGGGAAACTGCGTACGCGGGACAATGGTAAATCTTCGGGCCCGATGCAGAAACGACCCAATAACAACAATTTTCTGTTGTTTGCTCGAATATGAACAAAAATCTTGAATGCAATGAAAAACCAATCTGCCACTAACAGGTCCATGCTGATTCTTATGACATGGCATACAAACAACCTCATTCGACCCATCAAAAGTCTTGAGGACACACCCAATATAATCCCACGAGTTGCCATTGTCAGTCCTTTCAAGAACTAAGTTACCGTCGTAGCAAGATTGGAACTTCTGCATTATCTCGTATGCATGACATAACGATCTTGTATCATGCTTCGTAAATTCGATGAACACAGACACATCGTCCACCAGTCGGAAACCCGAGAACAACTTCCGATATTTCCCTAATGATGACAGAAACGACCACTCATTGTATGCGCACAAAAGACATGCCAGCGCAGGGCTCGTGGATTTGCCCATCGAAATTCCTATGTGCTGCTGCAGTAGTGACCAAGCGGCCATAATGAACGTATTTGACAACTCGAAATGAAGAAAATTCATGATATGCGAAAATTCCAGGTAGACCCAACCCAATTCTTCCTTCCCTTTCGTCAACTTCGCTTTTTTCCCTCTTATGGATAGTGACATGCCATAGTATCCTTCGCTCTGCCACCGGTTAATAACCCAGCTGACCGCACTCAAAATGGAAGGATGAGGGAGATTGGAGAACATCTCCTTTATATTGAACGAAGCACCCACTATTCCTTCCTTCTTTCCAACTCCCTTATTAACTCCTTTGATACGATCCACCAGATCTTTGGTGCAACGCAGATTCAAGTGCGTGCTTTTTGGTAGCCGCCATAACAAACAATTAATAGATCGAGAAATGCGTCTACTTCCAAACAATAAACATTTTGGAAACGACGAGCAAATGGGTCTCCACTGATTGACATCCTTGTGCTTCGGAAAACAGTACGCCCTTCCAAGGCTCCCTTCGCTATCCCATCGTCCTACTTTCGTCAAAGAAGCATCCTTGTAAGCACCCAACATCTTCGTCAACACTTTCTTTTCAGCTCCCATCATAACTAAAAAAGCAGGATTATGCAGGAACATCAATCTCATTCCCTTCTCGTAAATTACTGGGCAGCAAACGAACGTATCACCAAGATTATGGTCTACCGGACACAACACTTGCCCTTCCAATCGATTACGAATCTTCAACACCTCATCCATGCTACAACCCCCATCGTTTCTCGCGTTTTGAATAATACAGGAAGATAAATCCGAAAAAGTCTTATGGTTACAGTCTAGGTGAGGTAAAGAGGGGTGTGCGTGAAAGGCATTTAAAACCTCTTTCTTAATCATGAACAACTGATTATGATGCGAAGGTCGTTCAATGTTCCTACTATTGTTAATCCAATTAGGAAAAAGATCAGTCTCAGATAGACGGAAGGCCACATGGCCGTCATTCCTTGGAAACTCCACATCAACCGAGCCGCAAACACATTTGAACTCCGACTCACTAGCTGCACGTTTGAAATTATGACATAAATCTCAGATCGTACGGTTGCGACACCATACCACTCTTAGCCGTCTAATTGTCATCGTTGTCCATGCTTCTCCGATAGACAAGCTTCTTACCAACCTTATACACAGCTGCCGAACCGCAACTTTGCAGATAGTTTCATCATACGTAAGTCGAACAACAATACGTTTTCTGATCAGTATTCCAAACCGGGTGGAAATAGTCCGTGACAGAATACATCGAAGTCTACCACGAGTCTTTTTTTCCATGAACGTGTGGATGGCCGAAAAAGCAAGTACTAGCGAATTCAACGACAAAGAGACAAGACTAGTGCATGTAACTGGTCTACTCAAGAATCCTACCATGGATGGTTTGTAGAGCGAAGCTTTGGACGGGAAGGGCACAATTTCCTCAAACATCAACACAACACCTTGTTGAATCCATCCATGCGCATGTCGGAACAACCCTTGTCCATATTGGCAAGACACAATCGAACCACCATATAGTCGTCGAACCACCTTCCATTTATCGGATATAAGTGAACCGCCATGACACGTAATCACGCACTGCTGAATAAAATAGCTCTTACAATGATCCAGAATCCTAAGACGACTAAATGAGGATAATCCAAAATCGGTCCTAAAGCTAAGAAGTGAATGTGCGCATTCCTTAGAAAGACATTCATCCTTGAGTTTCTTCGCCTTCCTGCGTCTCTCACGAAGTCCTAACCTCTTCCTCTTTGACTTCTTGGTCTTATCACGAATATTCAACGATGGTGAGAACAAACGGATAAAAAAACGTTCACACCCTGCTTAATCTTCCTCGGAACACCGACGTATAGGTATTGCTACGTTATTATGTGTACTGTTTCTCCATATCCATCGGTAAAATTTCTCATTCCTCTTTCTTTTAGTCACACCTTCCACCACTTTACTCCGATAAACGTGCTCGCCCCATCTTGTGTGTAAATCGCGTGATGTACTCCCAACATACATTTGATGACACCATGGTGAAACCAAAACGTACACGAGCGGCCCATGAAAACAATCTTCGTTCGCCCCATCATCAACAGTTTGCCTTACGAACCCACATAGTTTCTTACCCCATGGAATAGCACTAATGGAAATCAGCAGAGCAACAAGTGCAAAAACCACCGAACTAACCAATTGACATCGAATCAACTCCGGGGAGGCTATCCTATGCGAAGACAGCGTCTCAGTTAACTCCAAAGATTCGCGCTCGGGTATCCTTACTACGACGTGGCCGAGTCACCAGAAGCATCGGTACAGCCATCCTTGCCCGGCTCAGCACCTTCCGATACCTTGTGAATGACGACGCCCCCAGGTTTGCCGACTGCAATCGACATTCTGCATCCGCTCGCTTTTGCGCAATCTCCTCCTTCGTCTTCTCCAGCGTAACATAATTAACATCCTCCCTATTGCATATGGTCAATATCTCATCCTTCTTTAGATACTTCAAAATCTTCCGCTGACACTGCAACGTACTCTCTCGTCTGGCCATTCCAAGTGTAGCTGGCTTCTTGCCTTTGTCCGCCGTGACAACTTTTTCGAGTCGTGCTCGCAGATTGGTAGCCATAGGTGTCTTCTTCACTTCCAAATTCGCCATGTGCTCTTTCAATCGATCCAGCTCCTGCTCCGCTTCTCTTCTACCATTCAAGTTTCTTAATCTCCATTTCTTGAGTAGTTCGATCTCGTGCTCCTGCTCTGCCATCGCTTGCTTAGCTTGTTCTTTATGAAAGGGAGGCGACACAGTCGGGGTCAGCCTCGTGCGCATTCTGGAGCGAGGTACCAGAGATGGAGTAACGGCAACAGAACCCCGTTTGTTGCCTGGTCTCAGTGCCTTAGTCTTCCAAGTTTCAACCGCTCCCAGTGCATCAGCATTAGCTTTCTTTAGTCGTGCAATCTCCTCTTCCATTGCCGCGAATCTTCTTTCCGATCTGGTCTACTCTGACTCCGTTGTGGAAGCAACATTAGTCGCCTGCGTCTGTCCTTTTCTGAGAAGCTTCAGTTCTGCTTGCAACTTTTTCACTTCGTCATTATCCGAGCCTTTCTTGCTCTCCAACAGCTCTTTCACCACATCTAACTTTCCTCCCAGCGTTTTACTCATCTGCTCATGCAACTCTTCTCTCTCCTTTTTTGCTTCTCGTTTACAATCTTCATCTTCTTTCTCTCGTTTCCTTCGTTCCTCTTCTTCTTGCTTGATCTTCTCTCGTTCCGTCTCGGCGTCGTGCCGAGCTTTGATAGCTGCTACTGTCGCATCAAGATTCTACACCCGCGGTTTCAACCCTCCTCCGTCGCTGTACCATAGTTTCCATACATAGCGCCACCGGTTGAGCAGGCACGATGGCAATATTAGTGTTAGTTTGACCGGACTGCAAACGCAAGGGACATAATCGTGAAAAGTGGTAAGGCTGCCCGCAATTATAACAGGTACGGATGATAGACAACGACGGAGCCATGTTGGAAGCCATGTTGACGTACTATCGACGTAACTCGAAGCCACACGTACGTAGTGCTATTCCTATGACGGTTACCACGTGTAAGAAGGTTATCAGATTAGACAAACTCAATACGTGACGATATCAACAAGCATAAACACGACAAGTCATGATCGCAGCTGCAACCATCATAATTGACTGACACACTGCCCTGAGGGAGACGAAAGAGAGAGAGAGAGAAAGAGAGAGAGGGAGAGAGAGAGA